TACAGGAAACAAACGAACCAGAGCGGCGCCTTTTATTGCTGTTTATTATTTCTATATAGCGCCGCCGCGCGGACGGGGTAAAATTGCTCTCCGTGTACCCACAATGCCTTTGGAACGGATGTTCCACTATATTGGGAAGCTGCTCTATCTCTGCTATTTATTATCTTCGATAAAACGTGATAGTGTGGACAGAACAATAGTTTAACAATCCTCCACACTTAACATTAGAAAAGCATGTTGCCCAAATCAAATACATTCCAAGATTCTGAAATCGTGCGCTCAACAACAAGCAGTTCCCTTTACTAAACCTTTCCAGAACTCGATTGACACATATAATGTAGGCCCTAATGGGTGTTCAGGGGCGGATTTAAGGGGGGGGGGGGTGGGGTGCCGAGTGCCGGCCCTTTCCCTCTCCTTTTGGAAGGTAAACAAATTTAAAGAAAGAAAGAAAAAGAAAAAATTGATCGCCCAAAACGCCTCTGAGATTATCTTCGGGCGTTTAGAACACAACAATTTCGTGGGGGCATGCCCTCGGACCACAATAGGGTAGTATTATCTCGATTATCCCCACTTTCGACCCCCTTTTGTTCCCCACCCCTTTTGGACATCTCTGGATCCGCCCCTGGGTGTTGGTTTTTGAATACTTTTAGATAAGATATCTGCATCAGTTCCGTTCTTGATACTATTCTGCAAAGTAGGCCTAACTGATTTCCACATTACTCAGTTGAGTTGTCAGTACGAATTAGAACTTGGAGTTTGAAACAGTTCCAAGATTCTCATCATGAAAAACATCATCATCAGTGGCGTAACGATGGTGCCGGGGGCCCTTACTTACTGAAGCTGAGTCCCGGTCGCCAATTCCATCGTTGGATTTTAGATATGCTCGCTTTTTAATCATATCTGAATTGTTATTCTAAAATGTTTTTAGCGACGAATGGATGGCCGAAAATGGCACTCAGACTTAAAATTGTGAAAATAACTTTCTTTTTATCTCCATTTTAAATTTTGTTTGACAAATCGGAGGAGTACCGGGCTGACAGGTCCCCTTCCCTTTAATCCGCCACTGGATGTAATATGATATATGCCCTGCAGTCGACACATTATGGTGTTATGTATCAAGAAAGTCCTTTTTGGCCAACGTGCTAGATCGAGGAAGCTATGGGTAGGGCCCCTAGGGGTCGGTGGCCCTGCGGACTGCCGTGTGAGAGGCGTCACTGAACATCATTTTCAATAGTCCTATTATTAATATCATCACCATCCTAGTGGTTATTATTAAAATAATCCTCATCATTTCATCATTATCATTATCTTCATCAATATCATCATCATCATCTTTTTTTTCTCTCTAAGGAAGGAAAAGTTGCCTCCAAGTAGTGTTTTTCCACTGTAAAAACAGTCCATGGATGTAAACGCAAAGCTCCACGCAATATCGACCTGCTTTTGGTGATACGTTTAAAAGCTAAATGTGTTTTAGGCAAGCTAATGTGCTCAGGTATTTGACAGGAAGAAATTGCATGGAGGTTTACCTTTAAGTCATCCATTTTCTTATGTTTTCCAGTCTGATATTGATAATATTATCGAATGGAGCACCAAAAATGGTATCTTGCTTAATGTTAAGAAGTGCAAAAGCACGTATATCACTCGTAGCAGACGGCCTGAGCATTTCACATTCTATTTATAACGAACCTCTTGATGTTATCAAAAAAATTATATATTTAGGTTTTATGATTTTAAGTGATCTAACTTGACACGAACATGTTTCTATGATTACCAAAAAAGCTAGCAGAATATCTGGCTCAGTTCGTTGCCCAAACCCTGTC